CAGATCTGGACTAAGATCGTATTTCCATTCTCTCAAAATTCCTCACCGCCACCATCTGTTCGCATACGCATTCCTAATGCAGCAGAGAGGCCATGGAGGAGCAGATGGCCTCTAGGGGTTGTTGGGAGTTAACTGCCCTCATGTATTGGCACAGTACAGCACCGTGACAGAGTCTTTCTCTACATTCATCTTATTTTCATTTATAAAACAACGAAAAGTCTGGACAGAAGACACACCCTCGCGCCAGAGCCGCAGCGGAGACTGCAGAGGCGTTCTCCCGCCACTCCCTGGCGGGGCGGTAACGGTCGCGCGTGCGCTTTTGTGTCAGGCTTCTTCCCGCCTCCGCTTTTCGCGCCGAGGAGGAAGTGAGGGAGGGGAGAGCCCGCGCGCACCCGCCAAAGGCAGGGGAAAGATAAGGGGGATGGGAACGCGAGGGAAAAGACTGTAGGGTCTCGGGGGGCCGCGCCCAGGTCTTAGGGGCTAAATAAGAGCCCTCACTAGGGTGGAGGGAGCCGGCGCCCCGCCATCCCGCTCCCAGAGTCCGAGAATCAAAGGCGACGGTCTCCTTCTTTCCCGGCCCTAGCCATTCTCCACAAGCCGGGGTCGATCTACTCCCACCCTCGCCTCTCGCCTTGGTTTCTGCCCCGCAAATGGAGAGCGCTGGTCGTAGTTCTCTACAGTTAGAAGCCTTCCGTGAACCCCCGGATTGTTTTTCCCCGTTTCCCCGAGCGATGGCGGCGCCGCTCGAGGCCCACTCACCATGTCTACGAGTTAGCAGGCGCAAGCGACAGGAGTAGACACCGGGTCCCGGTTACCGTCCCCGACAAGCTAAGAGTCGAGGTAAGTAACGCACTGGGGCGAGGGAGGTGCCAGAGCCGCTTAAGTAGCGGTCCAGGGAGGGGTGGGCGGGCATAGGCGGTGTCACGGCTGCGGGCCCCTCCCCTGGCCTGGCGGGCCCACTTGGTGGCCGGCTCTGCCGCCGCAGAGGCGGGCTCCACGGCTGGAGCCCCCTCCTTGCGTCGACCCTGTGGGGCTGGGGCCTCCGCGCCTGCGGGCCTCGAGCTCGGGTGCTGCAGTCTGCGGCGCATGGCTGCCGGGGCCTGGGCTGGGCACGGGCTAGGAAACAAACCATCCTGGGAAGGGAAGAGGAGCTTTGCCTTAATTTGGACGAACGCTAAGACTTAAAAGTCTATACGGTTTTAAAGAAGAAGCACCATGAAATGCAGAAACTTCTGGCCCGGATAGCTCAGCTGATTATGTTCATGTTGTCACAATTTGTCAGTGAGTTTTGCCTTTGCCTTTTCTCAGTTCCTTTAAAGTGTATTCTGTACTTCCTTGATCATGTGGAGGACGCGAGGTTTAGAAAATAGACTAGTTTTATTTGGTTTACTGTAATGACTTGTGCTTTAAAGATAGCAAACGTTGGAAGCAAAAACCAGTCATTCAAAGAGAGTACCTAAGCATTGATCCAATTGTTAAAAGGGCCCCATTTTTAGACCTCAACCAACTTTATAAAACAGCCTTAGGGGCTTTTAAAAAAGGGAGATTTAAAGACACATTTCAAATTTGGTAGCTGAATTGAGGAAGTGAAGACAGAAACTTGGGTAGGGACGAAATTGACACAGAAGGATTTTAGGAAGCAGGGATTCCTTGTTAATTTTGTAAAACTCTATAATAAATAACTGCTTTCTGTTAAACGTCAACCCTAATTGAAGAATAAAAATTTTTTTTAAAAAATACTGCTTTCTGTTATGTCAAGATAGATCAGTTGGTTATAGCTTAGTGCTAGGAGGCCCAGATTATAATGAATAGACTGTTTTCCTCCCTTTTCAGGAGAATCTACTTTAAGACTGTAAACCACATTGGTAACCTTTGGAAATGCATAAGGAGGTTAATTAGGGTTAAAGTGTGGCTTTAAATTGGTTCTAACAGAAATTTATTACTGTTAGTACACTATTTAAAATATCCTCCCAGTGATAGGGTATTAGTAACATAAAAGGTAAACATAAGACAGTAAAAATTCATAGTTCAAATTCAGTTATTACCTGATTCAGATTTGGTAAAGCCTTCATCCTTCGTGCCACAGAAATAGCTAATTTACACTGTTAATATGTGTATGTAGTTTGTAAGGATATATATTTATATATTATATATGTATTCTCCACTCACATTTACATGAACCTAGAATACAAACAAGATACTCATTTACTTCTAATAAATATTTTTTGTAGTCCTGTTAAAAGATTTTCGACTCAGATCCCAAATTTGCACACATTTCCCAAACTGGGTTATAGGGGACAGGAATATATTTGAATATTGTCTCACTTATTCTTGACATAAAAATAAATCCTATTAGTTTCAGGTTGTCTCATTTATTCTTTTTTTTTTTTTTAATTATGTGTCTTGTTCTTAAAAGGAGATGGAAATACAGGCATACATTTTATTGTGTTTTGCTTTATTACGCTTCATAGATACTCCATTTTTTACAAATTGAAGGCGAGACCCTTTTATTGCAGTGGTCTGGAACCAATCTCACAATAACTCAGAGGAATGCTTGTCATTAGTTTGCCTTAACTGGAAGAGTGAATGTTAGGGAACCACCCAGCTGAACTCCATTTTGCTGTCTGCTCTGGATGAAAGCCATTTGAAAGCAGGCACCTCCCTCCTCCTAGCTCTCTGCAGAACCTTAGAGCTTTCACTGCAGAGATTTGCTGCTGTGGGCTATATGTCTCCCCAGATACCTTCCTAAAACCATTAGCTTTGCTAGCCTTGTTTTCTGTGAATTCCCATGTTGTAAATGAGAAAGTATTTGAGGGTTTCTTTTTGCGTGTGCGTGTCCCTGATGATACTCAGGTTTCAGAGAGTAATAGAGCCAAAGGGACGTTTATACCAGATATCTAGTCTGATATCTATTTGCCAGAAAAATATTGAATAATGCTAAGTTAATTGATTTTGCTACCTCTTAAGTAATTGAGAGGAAAGGCTGACATTTTTTTTCTTTTGTACACATATCAAACTTATATGGATCTATTTGTTTATATTATATATGGATGTATACACTTTGTCTATATTTAAAAACTAAATAGTTATCTTTTGCTGGAATATAGACAGTATTATCTATCCAGTATCTTAACATTTTAACTGATTATATAGGTCTTTCTTTTGTTGGACTGTTTTAGGGCCTGTAACTATTTGCTTTGTCTTTGATGTAATTGGAGACCCTGTGCCTTTTGAGTCTCCCCATCTTTGCTACTTAATATTGTTGCCATTTGTTACTGTTCTAAGCAGTCAGTAACATTTTTGATAGTTTCATATTGTGGTTAGACACAAAAGTTCACAAAAAGTTTTGTTCATTAACCTACTCTCCAAGGAAAGACACAATTAAGAAATAGCAACTACTTACAAAGCAGCAACTATTTTCAAACATTTGGCCTTTTTTTTTATTAGTGTTATAAATTTATATATGCCATTTTAGGTTGTTTTTCCACAGATGGTATAGGAGAAAGAAAATGGGCTTTACTTTCAGATAGTCCTGGATAAAATTTTATCTTTGTCAGTTAATAGTGGTATGACTTTAGGAAAAGTTTTCATTTATTTATTTGTTTGTTTGTTTGTTTGTTTGTTTGTTTGTTTTTGATGCCTACAGCACCTGGTATTTCTGGGTGGTCTCCAATCCAAGTACTAACCAGGCCCGACCCTGCTTAGCTTCCAAGATCAGATGAGATTGAGCACGTTCAGGGTAGCATGGCCATAGACTGGTATGACTTTAGACTCCTAATTATCTTTCTTGAGCTTCATTTATGAATGGGAATCAATATTAGCTTGGAATCATCTTTTTCTCACACTGTCACATTCAATCCCATTAGTAAATTCTATTAGCTTTATTTTCAAAATATGCCCATCATTTTTTAAAATCACATCACCTTATAGTGTTTATAGAAGCTGAAATTACCTCGTTCATATGTTTATTTGCTTATTTAAAATTTTTTCCTAATTAGAATTCAACTCCATGTCTGGTTTTGTGGAAGTCAATCTTGGTTGCCCTTCCAAAAACCACTTTCTTCCATTCTTTGCCAAGAGAACCTCTTTTTGTTTGTTTCTTTGTTTGTTTTTAAAGGGTAGTTATGTGCTCAAACCCAGGGGACAAGTCAAGGAAACCCTTTGCCAGATTCTTATTTTCTCAATCTCCTTCATAATTGAATCCAGTCTGGCCAATGGACATAAAGGGAAGTCTGCTAGGGTATTTCTGGGAATGGTTTTTCTCCCTGATCAAAAGAGATTGTACCCTTGAGCAAAACCCCTTTGTTTCACTCCTCTCCATTGCTTTTTGCTTTTGGAAATGTTCTGTGAAGGTATGATGCCTGGAGCCAACTTAGTACCTTCAGGGTATTAATGTGAATAGAATCAAAGAAATGCCAACTTAGTGTCTGACACTGTGAAACTGCTGAGCCAGTCTTCAATCCATCTATCTCCAGATTTATTATAGTAGGTGCTTAATATGTAATTTGTTGCTGAATGTTGAACTTGGTGACTGATTGGATACACAGTGTGAGGGAAACTAAAGAAAGAGGTTAATTTTCATGTTTTTGGTTTAAATAACTGGTCGAATGGCAGTACTTTTCACTGAGATCAGAATACTAAAGGAAGAAGGAATAGGAACTGAAGAAAGGACACAGGAGAAGCTAATAGTTCAGCTTTTGACACATTTTGAGTTCAAATGTCTGTGATACATATATCTGGAGATATCCAGTTATATATGCAGATGTGGAGAGAGAAGAGAAAGACAGATTTGAGAGTCCTTGAGATTTAAGATAATTAAGCCATGGAGATGGATAGAACACTAAGGGGGAATGTGTAGAACTTAGGAGAGTGGTGGCGTTAGTAGAGAACCTAGCCTTAGTAGGGAATCTGAAGAATGAACACATTTAAAGTAGAGAGGAGGAGTCTATAAAAGAAGCCTGAGAAGCATTGATCAGAGAGGGAGAGCTGGGGGTCTCACAATCCAAGGAAAGGGAAAGTTCAAGGAGAAGTGGTATGTCAAATGCTGCAGAGAGGTTAGGTAGTATAAAGACTAGAAAGTGTCCATTTTATATGGAAAACAATAGGGCTTCTATTTTTGTTTATTGGATAAATATTTATTGAGAGTCTACCATGTCAAGAACTCCTTTTAAGTGTTAGGTAGATAAAACGACAGACAAAGTACATCCTTACCCTTATAGAGTTTATATTCTAGAGAAGGCGAAAGAAAATGAACATATAGCAAAGAGACATGAAATATAATGTTAGGTATTAATAGGTACTACTTTAGGTAATCTAGGAAGGCCTCTCTGAGGAGATAATTTGAACGAAGACCTGAATGAAGTGATAGAGTAGGCATTTCAAGCAGAGGAAACATCAAGTGCAAAAGCTCTGAGGTTGAGGGTGTATATTTTTTTTTTAGGCAGTATCAATAAGGTCAGTGAGAACAGAGCAGAGTAAGTGAGGGGAAGAGTGTTATGAAATGAGATCAGAGAAGTAGCCAATGTCTAGATCATGTAAGAGTCTTTCTTATTAGCCATGGAAAGACTGTGTTTTAGTCTAAAAATCGTAAGAATCCTTTACATAGTTCTGAACAAAGATATGACATATTCTATTTTATATTTTAAAAGGATCATTCTGGTTGCTATGAGAATAAACCATAGAAAGTTAGGAGTGGAATAAGGAATATGAGTTGGAAGGGAATTGTAGATAAGAGGTGATAGTTGCTTGGACCAGGGGTGGACCAGTGGTGGAGGTGGTAAAAAGTGGTGGGTTTCTGGATGTATTTTGAAGGTAGTGCTGACAGGGTTTATTAATGCATTGGATGTAAGGTGAGAAAGAAAGAGAAGTCAATCATGACCCCAAGGTTTCTGGCCTGAGTAACACTGGGGAATACTGAAAGAGAAACAGGTATAGGGAAATGGAGGGAATCCAAAGGTCAATTTTGGACATGTTAAGTTTTGAGATGAGGTGTGTTAGGCATTGAAGTAGAACATGTATTCTTTGATAAATATTTAAATTAATACAGTAGTCCCCCCATATCTGCATTTTTCTTTCCCTGGCTTTAATTATCTGCTGTCAACACATCACCACAAGAAGAGAGAGTATAGCACAATAAGATATTGCATTGTATGTTCACTGCCCATAGTTAGAGTTCATTCTGTCACCACACATTTGACCCCTTTTATCCTCCACCCTCTGGTAACCACTAGTCTGTTGTCCATGTCCATGTGTCTGTTTGTCCTGTTTGTCTGTTGCTTTTAGGTTTATATCCCACATATAAGTGATAACGTGATTTTCAGCATTTTTTGTCTGGCTTATTTTGCTTAGCATGATTATCTCAAGATCCATCCATGTTGTTGCAAATGGCAGTATTTCATCTGTTCTTATGGCTGAGAAATATTCCATTGTATTAATTTAAATTTAAATAGTCACATGTAGTGCCTACTATATTGGACAGTGCACATCTAAAAACTTGAGTATTTGAAGTTTTTATACAGAGAAGAAAGGAAGGCTCAATTTCCTCAGGTTAAATGAGAACTTGGTGACAAGGCACTTTGAAAGTAATGAAAATAAAATGCCAATAGTAACTAAAGAGGACTAAGGAGAAGATTTTAAGTAGAGATTTACCATGATCTGAATTTATGTATATCAACTATATTCTATGGGAAAGGAGCACAGATTTGGGAAATATTTTTAAAATTGAGAAAACAAGTTTTATAGCAGTTACAAAGGGAAATACTTAATAGGCTGATGTTTATTCTATGAAAAGAAAACGGAAAGCTCAATATTGAATGGGAAGACTTGTGGTAATTTAAAAATTCTTTTTTCTGCTTTTCTATAATTAACAAAGTTTATTTAATCTAGATGTATTACTTTTTTATAATTACAATTAATGTAATAAAAAGGTCAATATAAAGTAAAATGGTAGGTTAAGGTTCTAAGAAATACAAGTATTTATTTTTGACCTATACCTACTTTGTAAAAAAAAATAGCAGCTTTATTAAGATAGCAGGGATTATACAATCCACTCTTTTAAAATGTACTTTTTTTTTTTAAGTATATTCAGAGAATTGTGCAACCATCACTGCTCTCTAATTCAGAACATTTGTATCACCCTAAAAGAAACTTGGTACCCATTAGCAGTCACTCCTCATTCACCCCTCCTCCAAACTCCCGGCAACCACTGATGTACTTTCCATTTCCCTGGATTTGCCTATTCTGGACATTTCACATAAACAGAATCATATAATATGTGGCTTCTTTTACTTAGCATGATGATGTTTTCAAGGTTCATCTATGTTGTAGCATGTATCAATACTTCATTTGTTTAAATTGACAAATAGTATTCTGTAGTATCAATATACATTTTCTTTATCTATTCATCAGTTGATGGACATTTGGGTTGTTTCCACTTTTTGGCTATTATGAATAATGCTGTTATGAACATTTATGTACAAGTTTTTGTGTGCCATATGTTTTACTTTTCTTGGCTATATATCTAAGAGTGGAATTTCTGGATCATATGGTAACTCTATGTTTAACATTTTGAGGAACTGTTAAATTATTTTCAAAAGTGGGTGCACCATTTTACAATCCCGCCAGCAATATATGAATATTCCAATTTTTCCATTTCCTCACTTATAATTGTTATTTTTTTTTATTATGGACATCCTATTGGACTTGAGGTGGCATCTCATTGTATGTTAATTTACATTTCCCTAATGGCTAATCGTGTTAGGCACCTTTTCATGTGCTTATTGGTCATTTGTATATCTTCTTTGGAGAAATGTTTATTCAAGTCTCTATTCCTACACAGGATATTTCAAAGATTTTATAAGCTCTGTGCCAGGAACTGGAAGACAAAGACCAAATATTAATTTTTTATTATAGCACAGCCATATAATTTGCATTTACATTTATTCATTTGCATTTCTTATTCCTTTTATTTACTTTTCTTGATTTACTGGCTGGGACCTTCATTAAAGTGATGAAAGTAGCGGTGGTATGAGCATTCTTCCCTTGTTCCTGCTCTCAAAGGTAATGGTTTTAATATTTCAATTTTAAGTATATTTGCTGCAGTTTTTCTTATAGATATCTTTTATAAGATTAAAGTTTCTTTAGTTTGATAAAAATTTTTATCATGAATGAGTGTTCAAGTTTAGCAAATTCTTTTTCTGCATCTATTGAGATCCTCTTTTGATTTTTCTTTTACTCTGCTAATGTGGCAAGTTATACTGATTTGTTTCCTAAAATTAAAATAACCTTGAATTGCTGTGATAAATCAAACTAGGTCACAATGATTCATATTTTAGACTATACTATTAGGTTCGGTTTGCTAATATTTTCACGGATATTTAAATCAATACGTGGGGAATTGTTCTGTAATGCTGATTTTTCATACTTTTTTCTTTCAGATTTTGGTATAAGGGATTGATAGATTCATAAAGGAATGCACCATTTTTTCTGTTTTCTGGAAGAGTTGATGTAATATTGGAATTATTTTTTTCTTGAAATTTGGTGGAACTGCTAGTAGAGCAATCTGAACCTTGATGTTGCTGGCGGTGTTGTTATGGGAAGTTTTTTTTTGTTTTACTTCTTGATCGATTTCTTTAGTGGTTATGATTATTCAGATTTTTTCTTTCTTTCTTTCTTTCTTTTTTTTTTTTTCTTTTTGATTTTTATGAGTTTATTTGAGCTAAAACTAATGACAGTTGCCAGGAAGCAATATCTCCGATGCTGCTTTTATTTGTTCTGGAAGATTTTTTTCTCAGTTCGTCTTCATTTATAAATCTATTCGAATTAAATTCTTCATAACATCCTAGTTTATCTTTTTAGTGAGTGCAACTTCTGTGGTAATGGCTCCTTTTTCATTTCTGATATTGTTTATTTGTACCAACTGCTTTTTTTTTTAACCAGTTTTATCAGAGATTATCAATTATATTTTCATGGAAGCAACTTTTGGCTTTATTGATACTCTATATAGGTTTATTTTCTATCTTATAAATTCAGCTTTTATCTTGATTATTTTCTTCTAATTTTACAATTTCTTTAGTCTTTTTTTCTAAAGTTTTAAGATGAGCACTGTGAAAAGTTAACATAAGTGGAGCCATTTTAAAATAAAGCCAGATATTATCAACAGGACAAGTAATAACAAGTGTGGGAGAGGTTGCGGAGAAAAAGGAACCCTCATATACTGCTGGTGGAACTGCAAATTGGTACAGCCACTATGGAAAACAGTATGGAGGGTCCTCAAAAAACTAAGAATTGATCTACCATATGATCCAGCAATCCCTCTACTGGATATTTACCCCAAAGACTTGAAAACATTTATCTGAGAAGATATATGCACACTGATTTTTATAGCTGCATTATTCACAGTGGCCAGGACATGGAAGCACTTAATATGTGGGATATAAATCTAAAAGCAACAAACAAACATGACAAACAAACAGAGACTTATGGACATGGACAGTAGACTAGTGGTTATCAGAGGATGGGGGGAAGGTATTGTTGACAGACTGACGGGTCATACATCTTAAGAACCAATTCACACTTCAAAATCAACAGATTCAATCACAAAGTATCTAACAGTACCACTGCAGTGTAAAGCTAAAAGTAGATTCCTGGTAACTATGAGCTGTGAACACACAATACTATATATATGTCTTACTGTTGAATTGTACACTTGAAACTTACTAGATTTCGTTAACCAATGTCACCATAATAAAAAATAAATAAAATAAAATAAATAAAAAAAGAGCCAGAGCAGCCATTCCAGAGGATCTGCTTGCATGTCATGTTCCTTAAACTTTTAGAAGGTTTTAACTGGGTGAAATAACCTTTGGAGTGGGCCAAAGCAACATTGTCTTACAAACAACTGTTTGTAAAACTAACAGGAAAGCAGACATTCTGACCATAAAGACTGTTGATTATAGACTCTTTTTCTGAAAATAGAATCAGTAACCAGCCATGTATAAGCTAAAAAGTAATTCAGTTTTGTTAACACCAGTAGAAATTCATTTCTTCTATTCATGTAATTATTTCCCTTCCTTTTCTAATAAAAACTCTTTGCCTTCACCCTGTAATTGGGACACCATTTCGGTTTCTGTGCCCTCAAATTGCAATTCTGTGACCTCAAATAAATGCTTGTTGCTTCTCACTTTGACTTTTTATTTTTAGGTTAACAGTACTTAGTTCTTTGTTATTTAGATTTTATTCTTTTCTGATACATACAGTTGAGGCTATAATTCCTTATGTGCTTATACACTAAAAATCTATATTATACAGTTGTTGAGTACAATGTTCTCTATATATCCATTAGATCAGATTAGTTCACCAGGATATTCAAATGTTTTATACCTTTACTGTTTTTTGTATGCTTATTACTTGAGATGTGTTTGTGATAATTTGTTTTGGCAGTTCCATGAAACTAATACAATCATTTTAATTTTTTACCTCTATAATTTGTTTTATTTTTTTTCTAATCTGCTTGGTCATCTTTTATTGTTTCCTGTTTCTTACAGATATATTCAAGCTTGTCTTTTATGTTTTGAAATATAGTATGCAGAGTTATTTTATAATCTGGATCTGATAATCCAATATCCAAAGCCTTTGCTGACCTGTTTTTGTTCTATGTTGTTTATACTGGTTGATGCCTTATTTCCTTGTGATACATAACAGGTTTTTTGTTTTTTATTTTTAACTTTGAAAGCTCATTTTCCTTGGGAAATTAGATTTTGAAAGGGAAATTCTTTAATGCTTAAAATAAAGATTTGTTTTTTCTTCTGCCAGATGCCTGGGAGCACTACCAGTCTAGGATGACTAAACTAAGCTCATGGTATTAGGACTTTTGGAACACCCAAGTTGCAAATTCATGTATGAGCTGATTGTTTTGAACATTTCTCAAGTATTCTTTGTTTGTTTGTTTGTTTGTTTGTTTGTTTTCCCCCTTTCCTGTTCATACCAAGGCAATTTTCATTGCAATCCTCTGGAAGAGGAGATTGTGGTAGATTTACTTCTGGTCCACCCTTCTACTAAAGGTTTAGCTCTTTGGAGTCCCAACTTTTTCTGTGGGTGCTTCTCTGGTACTTCTCACTTTGGATGGACCCTGAGCTTTATATTTAATCCCAGCACTTTATTTTTTTAAGGCTGTAAAGAAAATGGCATCAATGTTCCATTGAATTCTGGCTTAAAGATTTCTTACTATCTTATCAGCTTTTTGACGCTTTTAAGAAAATATTTTATCATTTTATATCCATTTTTAGTTTTTACTGGAAGGTGTATCAAAAATCTAGTCCACCATATTATTGGAAACCCAATTTTATCTTTTAAAAATGAATGATAGTTTCGAATTACTAAATTTTAAGATTCCGTGAAACAAACAAACAGAAAAATTCCATGAGATGTAACATGAGTATGTTCTATTTTAAAATGTCAACATTTACAATATATTTAAAATTACATTCTTTTTAATCATTTAAACTTTAAAAATGTTAGATATCAACTTAAAAATGTCTGAAGTATGTAGTTTTGAAAAGAATTTTAGGTGGAACACAAGCAAACTTGTGAATACCACTGATCTAGAGAAATGGTCACATAATTATATAAGATGTATATACCCATCTAGTCTCATAGCTTTAAATATTATCTATATATTAGTGTCTCCCACCAAGACCTTTTCTCTATCCCTGAAGTGTATATCTAGTTGCCTACTCAATATTTATCAGGTCTATAATGAATTTTTGCATTCCACTACCTCCCCACACTCACAGGCACACAACCTACTCCTTTCCTCTTCTAGTGTTCTTCATCTGAGTAAATGTTACCTCTATTCACCCAGTTGTTCAGGCCAAAAATCTCTGAGTTATCTCTGACTCCTCTCTTTTTAAAATATTTACCATCTAATGCATCTAATGCCTACAAAATATATCCTCAATTGTCTGTCATCTCTCTCCTAGACACAAAAATATTCTACTTACTGCTTTTCCTGCTTCTATTCTTACAGTCTTTTTTTTTTTTTTTAATGATCCTTTAAAAATATAACTTCGACCACGCCTACTCTGGGGGCTTCTTTTTATTCTTAGAATACTATCCAAATTCTTACAATGTTCTAAAATGTTCTTCTTGGTCTGGTTCCTGGCTGCCTCTCCAGCTTCATCTTATATTCTTTACCTCCTCACTCATTCTACTTCAGCTGCACCGGCCTTCTTACTATACCTGGAACACAGTGATTATGCTACTTTGTCTCAAGGCTCTCCACTTGTGGTCCCTTTGCCTAATTTGCTCTTCCCCCAGATATCTACTCCCCAATTTTCTTAGTTTCTCTTTTAATATTATCAACGAAAAGAGGCCTTGACCTTTTATTCTAACATAGTATCCTCCATTTCTTCCTTTCCCCCCTTAAGCTGCTCCTTTTTCCTCTTAGGACATTTATTATTTGCTTATTTTCTGTCTCCCCACTGGAATCTTCTGTCTTTCGTTCATTGCCTTAGCCCCTTAGTCTTATGTAGTAGGTAGTGAATAAATATGTGTTGAATATGAATTGAATGTATAAATGTATATCCTCAAATGCCTGCCACAGGGCTATTTATATATTTGATGTTGAAAAGGTATTAAATGGATGAATGAATGGATGTAGTATCACTCATGTACTTTATTGTTCCCTTTTGTATGGAGAGATTACATTTTGTATAATGTAAGGACTGTTTCCTTATACTTTGTTGAGCTTTGAGATAATAACCCAGGTTCCAAATCTTAATCTTCAGCTCCTAAAATGACTCGATAGGGTCTCCATTCTTTAACTTCTAGCAATAGGAGAATGGCTCTCCAGAAAGCCTTCCCAGTGAAAAATTTAAAGGTCACATAACAAGTTACCTTTTAGATTTTTAGAATTTAAATTTACTTTGTAATATTTTTGGTTTTGTTTGTTGCCTTTTTGTTGAAGTGATTTCATCTTCAGCACAATTCAGGTTCAAGAACTAATTCTCATGTGTACTTTCAACTAGTACTTTTTCTGCATGTTAGAGAAAATGAGAAATTTAAAAAAGAAAAAAAACAGTCAAAATATCAATCAACCTTAGTAATTCATAAAGAATAGCAATTATGTTGAGTTGGTAGTAAAAGAATGCTGATTTTACCTCTGGTGTTTTTGAAGGGAGGACAAGCTATTAAAAATGAATGAGAAGCTGATAATATCGAAGTACTCATTTGAGTTAAATTGCCATGAATAAAAATTTTAAACAATATATTTTATGTATGAAGGAAGAGAATCAATGTTTAGTTCTGTCTGTATAGATTTTTGCAGGGGAGGGACATTATCTAAGAAAGGTGTTTTTTTTTTTAAAGTAATGAAATCTATTTCTTCCTGACTATGTTAGCTTCTATACCCCTAAAAAGTATAAATTGGGAGATATAAAATATGTACAGCAGAAGCCACGTAAGTTATGAAGAATGTTGGCATATATTCAATCAACCAATATATGATTTTGTAGCAGAAGCAGTTATTCTGCTTCTATATATATACAACATTAGGGGAAAAATTATGCTGCATCGAAATTTCCCATCTGCCAGAACTTCAGGTTCAGAATATTAAGTAAGTATTCTTTAAAATTTAGCTCTCTCTTAAACAAATTAGAAACATACCTTATCCCATTTGACACATTATAGAAGGTGTCTTAACGTTTTTATTGCAGCTGCAGAATAAGATGTTTTACTTAACAATAAATCCAAGGGGGAAAAAAATCTTTGCATCTTATCACAGATGTATGTAATAATCCATCCCAGAGGAATAAGCACATTGGATCCCTGATGAATATAGAGAATATGTCACATAGCACAATAGTGTCTCTTTAGGTAAGTTAAGACCAAGCAAAAATAAGAAACCTATCTACCATTATGGGATAGAGATTTGGTGGTCCTGAAATGAAAAAAATATATATGTGTGGGGGTGGGGCAGAAAATTAAAACTGAGGACCCACCAAGGATCAAAAAGTTTTTGAGTTTCTATATGACAAATTTCTCTTCAGAATCTTGAAAAAGAACTGAGAAACTTGAGTTATAATTACTACTCTTTTTCTAACAATAGATAATATTGCAGTTAAAATCGTGGGATAACTACAAAACATTGTTGAAAGAAGTCAAAGATGATGTAAATAAATGAAAAGACATTTTATGTTTAAGGATTGGAAGACTTAAT